GTTGTTGCTGAAGTTGTTGTTGTTATAGTGATACTTTTGCTTCTTAAAGTTGTTTTGGTTACCTTGCTGGTTTCTAGGGTTTTATCCCACCTCTTTTCTCTTTTCTTTCCCTTCTATCTCAGCTAGCTCTTTCTTTTTCTTAAGCTCCAACGCATAAAGGTGTGCAGCTTTCCCATACACTTCATCCAAAGTTTCAAATACTTGCCCACACAGCTTTAACTGCAAATCAGTAGTCAGTTCACTCTCAAACTTCCTAGCCTTAGACTTTTCTGTAGAAATACTCTTTAGCAAATCGTGACAGCTCAATAAACTTGGTGTAGTATTCAGTGACCGACATATTCCCCATTGCAAGGTTAGAAAATTCCTCAGCTTTTTGTTTCTGTAAGAAGGTAGGGTAAAACTTGTCCCTAACCTTCTTCTGAAACATAGTCCAATTAAATCCAGGTGGTACCTTAATGGTAGCTTCATTTTGCTGCCACCAAAGGTCAGCTTCACCCCTGAGGTAATAAGTAGCTCAGTCTACTTTTGAAGTTTCCGGACACCCTACTGCCCCAAACAGTTTCTCAAACTCCCTCAACCAGTTTTCCAGTATAGTTGGATCAGGCTCTCCTTGATAATAAGTTAGTGGCTTGCTCTGCGCCACCTTCTTAAATAGCTCTCCTCGAGCATCTACATTATTGGTTGAGTTCCTTGCTAATTGTTGGACAACAGCTGCCAACTGCCTCACAACTTCACTTGACTCTCCTCCATCGTTGTTGTTAACACTCCCTCCTGCCATCTTTCTTCGCCTGAATTAACACAAAGGATTCTTTATTAAATATGGTCTTGGCTAGCTCTCAAGTTAGACACCCATCTAACTAGTTAATACCCTTGAAGCATACACCTTAAATGTTAAGCTAACAAATTGGGATTGCAAAAGTTAAAAAAAATTCCCAAAATTTGCAGCTTTGTCAACCAAATATTGATTGCTAACCAACCACACATTTAATAAAGCATCACATTAATAAATAAAAATAATTTCCATGGATTCCCAGAGTTTAATAATGAATTATTAGAATATTTGTGAGTAAGAAATGGCATCTTGGAGTAGTGATACGAAATGAATGATTTGGGAACGAAATGAATGATTTGTTAATAAAATGAATTAATTGACAAGGAAATAAATGAAATTTTATTGCTGAGTAAGAAAATGAATGGAATACTGAAATAAAATGAGTTTAAATAACTTATGCAACTACATAAGTTTACTGACTCACTGTGGACATACCAGCACAGCGGGCCGCTGCCGCCAGCACAGGGCCGGCAGCAGCAGTAGCCGTGGGAAGTGGCGCCAGCCACCCTCCCTTTCCCCCTTGTGCGTCCGTGTGTTTTGTAAAAAATATATATATATATATTCTTTTTGATTTTTAATTAAATCCACCCTTAATCTAATTATTGTTTTTGGGTTTTGTGATGAGTTTTATGATGTTTGATTTTAAGTATGATGTATATAAATTTTCAGAATTGGTTTTGAATTAAAAAGCCCCAAATTATAAACCCTAAGTTTCTAAGTTTATGTATATTGATGGAAATTATTTATAGGTGACTTAAATTATTTAAATAAGTGTTATAAAACACAATTACAGCAATTTTAGATGATTTAATAAAGCTGAAATTTTTATATATAAGCTATAATTATGTTTTTTGAAAGGATTTTTAATTACCCATTAATTGGGAATAAAAGTAAGGGTTTTAAATTAAATTTAAGCTTGTTTTAGAGGGTTTATGAGTGATTTAAAGAGTGTATATATTGCTGGAAATTTGTGTGGAATAGGTATTAATGCCTCTTTGTAATTGTGGTTTGTAGGACGTTTCCAAGTGAATGATTTTATTTAGTCGTGGCGATTTGAGATCATATTCAAGGTATGTTCGCGTACTTGGTAATTATTTGACTATGTAGAAGCATGCTAGGCTTTGATAAATTAAGTCCCAGTGGTATCATGATAGATGTTAGTTGGAATTTGTTGATTGGATTGATGTGGGTGAATGATTTGTGATGTATGAATAATTTATGAAGAATTGGTGATTGGAATTAAAATTATGTTGGCATGTTAATTATGAACCACACTTTTATTGTTGGCATGATAGAGAGCATGTTTAATTAAACTAAATGTTTAATTGAGTTTGGAATATTGAAAGGAATTTTGTTATGGTTCATATAATTTTTATTGATGCTATAAGCATGAGGAAGGAGCTATTTAAGTGTACACGAGGATTAAATTATATTTTGGTGCCTAAATGCACTTAAGGTGTTCTAAACACCGAGGGATATAATTTGTAGTGCTTTATGCGCTTAAGGTGTTATTTAACACCGAGGTAGATTAAAAAGGGTTCAACTATAAAAAGTTATGTGGTCACTAATTATTCAAGAATTAAATTGGTATGTTTGATTGCTTGAATGAATTATAATGTTTGATTGTATTGTGGTTTGAGAGTCATCACCAAGTATAATAAATATGTAAATAACGTAAAGTGAAAGAGATTACACGCCAAAACTCTTGGAACGTATATACCTTGAGTATGAACATATGCGGGGAGTTATGCGAATTTATATTTGACCATAACTTCTCCTGGGAGTACAGGACGCTGTATATTCCTTTTTATTATGCATAGGAATTCCGCCACTTACGAGTGGTTCTTTTATACTGGCACGGTTAGCTCCCGTGTTAGTACCCCTTTATTGGAGCAGGTTAGGGGAAACCCGTTCGATGCGTAATCAAATTAAATGGACATTGGTATTGGTCTAGTTAAGTGTTGAATGTCTTGTATGCTTGTTACAGGTGCAACAAGGTAAGTTGTGTGATGATAAGATGAAAGCATAATAGTATGTTTTATTACGCTTATGTACTCAGCATTGTTGATTGTGTGTTGTATGTTTGTTTGGCCTTGTCTTTACCTTGGCCCTACGACGACCCATTTCTAATGGCGAGTAGTGGGGACAAGTAGAGAGAAGTATTTCAGGCGGTGAAGCATTTTCATGATGGGCATGAGTGAAGAGCGAATCATGCTTAGTTTCCATAGGAATATAATGTGTTTTATTTGCTTTGAATATTATTTATTTTATTATGCTCATGAGACTAACGTAAAGGTTTTCACTATTGTTTGGTTTTAAGGGCCTACAATAGTTCCAAGTTGTAGGTTGACTTTGTTTGACTTTACTTTCATTTGGTTTGAGTTTTAAGTTGACTTATTATGAATGGTTTTAAAGAAAGTCTTCCGCTGTGTGTCTTTGATATTTGCCTTAGCCGTTTTCATGGTAGCGGTAATGTCTTAGATTTTCCTATTTCGTATTTTTAAAAAAGGGCAAAACAGGTATTTTAAAGGAAAGGAATTTATAGGGTGTTACAAAGATTATGGGTTAAATAATGACCCCTCAAAACCTTAATTGATCAATTTTCTTGCATGCAAATCAAAGCCGCAAACCAAGGTGTTTTGGTAATTTTTTGTCAATATTGACCTCATATTGGACCTTTTAGAGTCAAAATGACTCTCAAAACCTTGAACGAACTATGTTTCTTGCTTGAAAATCGCGACACACAAAATGAGACATTTATAGTAAGTTTTTTTCCATATATTTGACCTCAAATTCGATCCTTAAGTGTTAAAATGACCCCCCTCCCCCGGAAACCTTAATTGCTCAATTTTGCCACATGCAAATTAAAGCATGCAAACTGAGACATTTCTTAGCATGTTAAATGAGACCTTATTTTCTTTTTCTTTTTTTTTTACCATTTTTGACCTTGATTGGACCCTTACGATCCAAAATCCCTACCTTTGTAAAAGTAGGAGTAAACTCTTATGAATAGTGTTGAGACGATTATGCCCTAAGAATGTTTAATTACTTATTTACCCCTTTTAAAAGTACGACCACACTTTTATGAATAGTGTTGAGACGCTTATGTCCTTAAAATGTTTATTTATATATTTGCCCTCATTTTTTTTTTGAATTTTTAAGGATAGTCTGTGGACATTTATAACCCTAAAATTTTTTGTTTACATGTTTTCCTTCATTAGCACTACTAACAACTAATTTATAACATAATACCAAATCGAAAGAACTTCCCAAACATGGCTAGCTATGACATGCGCATCGCTTGCGTTAGACGTCCTCAAAAAACCTTAATCATTCAAATTTCTTATACGCAAATTGAAAATTTCTTTTTAAGGTGGCAAAATCACTAGGCGAGTCCCACAAACAATTTCCTTGACGGGAATTGTAAAGGAGCGGAGTAGGTTTATAACATTGATACAAAGGTTAAAATTGCCATTTCACCATCCTTCTTCTTCCATCTCTTTCTTCCTCTTGCGAACCACCATCGGAACCGACCACCATCTTCTTCCTTCATCTCCTTCCTCCTTTTCCTTCCTCCTTCATTCCACACAATCGGAAACCGACCACCATTTGCGAATTTACATTGACAGCGGCGACAGCCGTTGAATTAAATGAAAACCCTAAGAAAAAAAGGGAGAAATTTAGGGCTGGCTAATCTCAAAGGGTAAGTGAGTTTTCTCACCTCTGTTGATTTCTCCATTAAAGTTGAGCTTTGAGATTTCTTGTTGTCATTGTATTATAATTGTTGTTGTCATTGTATTGTTCTCCTCTGTTAATTTCTCCGTTGAGATTCTTGTTGTCATTGTATTATAATTATTGTTGTCATAGTATTGTTCTCCATTGAAGAATTTGTTGTTGTCATTGTATTATAATTACCAATAATAAAAAAAATTAACAAGCCTCTAAACTCTATAATAAAAAATAAAAAATTACTCAAAGTAACCTTGGGAGCAAAGTTTGGATCACACATTAGTTTTTTTCAAAGCTAATATATAAATATTGAAAAAATCTAATGTATCTAGAACAGTAGAATGGAGGGAGTGCGTACCAAAAAAGAAAAAAAAGAGGGGGAAGGAGTAAAACAGAATGGAAATAAGAAAAACGTCCATTAAAAAAAAAAAAAAAAAAAAAAAAAAAAAAAAAGAACGTAACGACACCTGATGAGGGTTCCATATCAGTAAATTGTTGTTTTCTTATTCACTCTGACTCTGCCACTCAATATCTTTACTAATTAAAGTTTTCCCAAAATCCCATTTCCCAACACAACAAAAGCCCAACAACACCACAATCCGTTAAATCTGAAAAACCCCCACCATTTTTTGTCATCGTCTTCTTCCAAAGCCACCACCCTTTTCTCTCTCCAAACCTTCAAATTCATCCAAAAATGGCGGCAGCACTACGAGCCACATCCTCCGCCATATCACGAGCAGTCACCGCCAGAACTCCGCCATTGATGGGCGGAGCTCGGTGGTCGTCATCGTCGACTTGGTGGGGTCATGTGGATCCGGCACCCAAAGACCCTATTCTCGGTGTCACCGAAGCTTTCTTGGCCGATCCTTCTCCTAACAAAGTCAATGTTGGAGTTGTATGTTTTTTTTAAATACTTAGCTTATAATTCATGCATGGTTCGATTTGTTTTTGATTTTTTCTTATTTGTTAGAATTTGATTTGATTTTTGTGATTTTTTTGGGTTTTGGGTTGGATTAATTTGATATATTTGAATATTTGATATATGAATTTTCAGGGTGCTTATCGAGATGATGATGGGAAACCAGTTGTTTTGAATTGTGTACGAGAAGCTGAAGCTAGAATTGCTGGTAACTTAAACATGTAAGTCCCCTGTTTTTGAATTTCTATATTTTGTAATGTATAAATGTTTATTTGCTATGAAATGTGAATTAATATTATAATTTTTATATGATGCTTTTGGAGTTATGGATGCATGTGGGGTAGCTCAGACGCGGAAACTCGAACAAGTTTTGTCCAATTCTTGTTTTTAATTAGCATAATTGGGAGATGTTTAATAGGATAAAGATGTTTTGGTTATATGTGTTGTTGAGTAGTAGTATTATATACTCCTGGATCATCGTACTCCATACCCAATACTTGAGTTATTTTGCCTAAATCTTATGTTATTTTGCTTAAATTTTGTGTTATTAACTTATTTTGCTAAAACAATATGTTATTTACTTAGTTACTTCAACAATATGTATGAAAAACAGCATGCATGTATAAAATAACTTGTACTTATTTAAAAATAACACATATATAAATTGAAATAATAAGTTCACATCAAAATAACATGAATTTTATAAACCTAGAGTACAGTGAAATGATCGACGTTGAATACAAAAAAACATCCAAGTATAAAATAACATGTACTTATTTAAAAATAACATATATATAAATTGAAATAATAAGAAGTTCACTTCAAAATAACATAAATTTTATAAATCTGGAGTACCTTGTGCATGGTACTCCAGGAGTAAGATAGAAATTGCGGTTGTTGAGTATTATACTGTTTTTTGTGATGATAAGTTAGTGAAAGTATTTTGAAGATTTACAAACATGTAATTTGGTTTAATTGAAGATGGTATAAATACATGTACAATAAGCTTTCAACTATAGATTTTTTGTAATTTGGTTTATTTAATCTTTTATTTCCATTGTCACTTCAAATACTCATAGATCTTAGTTAAATTAAGGTGATAAGCTAGTGGAAATGTACCCTTTTTTCCGAATGAGAAAGAAACATTGAAAACCTACTTTAGAATCTGGTAGGGAACAAAGCAAGGGTCATAAATAAGAGGGAAGCTTGTGTATAGAAATTAAATTCGGGTAACTTGTCCCATTGAAGTACGCCATTGCTATGTACTTTGTCTACTTTTGTGGTTGGATTTTTGTGTGACTTTGCTTTAAGGTATGTGTAATCCATCATAGGTGCTCCATGTTTTCATTCAAGCTTAAGCTAGCAATTTGATTATTTTGGTCGTCATTTTTTGTTTTGTATTTTTATCTGGTGTTGGCCTGTTGGGTACTAGATATGTATTTAGTTTACAACTCTTTTGGATGCTCCATAGAGCAAAAGCAATCTAGTAGCTCTTTACTTCTTTAGCCTCCATAAAGAATATGAAATAGGAATTGCACCTAGGGCATGCCTGGATTCCCTTGACTAATTAAGGGAGAAACAGTTAGTGGGGAAAGTTTGCTAGGGAATTATTAAAAGGATAATATTTCCTATCCTTGAAGTTTAGCAATATTCCTTGGGTTAAAATCTCCCTATAATCATCTTCAAGCCACTTGCATGCCCGACTGCACAAAGTTACTGCTGCAATCCCGCCACCTCCTTGCAAACCAACTCACGGACCACTGGATGTCTAGAGAGAATGAGAAATTGTTAAGGGGGGAAAAGATTACATGCGTAGGGGTTTGGGGAGGGGGATGAATAATTTTTAGCCTCGTCTGAACAAAAAATCATTACCCCTTGAAAATTTTAGTAATTTTAGTTCCATATCAGGCATAAAAAAAAAATCAGAATTCTTACTCCCTTGTTTTTCCCACCTCCATTACCTACAATCCAGGCATGCTCCTAGTGTTAATCATATGATCTTCGAATTGTTAGTGACTATTTGCTCCATAAAGTACTTGCTTGTGACAACTCTATCAAGGTACACAATCTGAGCATGTTACCTAGGCAATTTAGGCCTAACCTGAATTTAACTTATTTCACAAAAAAATAAGTTCGTATAAATTGTCCAGGAAGTGAAATTCAGTTTAGAACCAAATGCCCCCTTATCGGAAATATAAATTTAACATATTGGCTAAATTTGTTTGGTCAAACATAGTGACTATCATGCCTTAAATGCTTTTTGTTTTGATTTTATTTTAGTGAAATTGATGTTTTGAAGTAATGTTAAACAATTTGCTTAATTTCTATTTATTTAACCAAATTGTGAAGCTAACCAAATCAAAGACATGTACTTTATGTCATGAAGTACTCCCAAATGAAACTACTCAAAAACTACCAGGTTTAAAAAAATCTACATGAGACACCTTGAGCAAGTCTGCGAGTGTATTAAAAAAAAGGCCAGCTTTCTCGACTGTTGAGCAAATCGTTCGTCTCTCCAAAATATTATTGCTACTGTTTGAATGAAAATTTGCAGCAGTTTAATTCATGGAATAGTATGGTTGCATGCCAACATTTAATTTTCTGTTCTGGCTCATGAATTGAACACATTAAGTCTTTTCACTTAATATCTTAGACAATATTGCAGATTCAATGACTGCCTCCTCTAATACTTTCATTTGGGCAGTATTATACTATCATGCTTTGTAGTAGGCTTTTGGACTTTCTTAGAGGCATGTTTTCATTTGTTTCTTGTGAACTATCTTAAAATGCTAAGTACCATACATCACTGACTCTCGTGCTCAGTAAATGAATTCACCCCAATTTTTGTGGTTGACAGGGAGTATCTTCCTATGGGTGGAAGTAACCACATGGTTGAGGAAACATTGAAGCTTGCTTATGGTGAAGATTCTGAATTCATAAAAGATAAACGGATTGCAGCAGTGCAGGCTCTTTCTGGTACTGGAGCATGTCGACTTTTTGCTGACTTTCAGAAACGTTATCAACCTGAATCTGAAATTTACATTCCTGTTCCAACCTGGGCCAAGTGAGTTCAGCTCCCCTGCCCCACAACACCCCCCCCCCCAAAAAAAAAAAAAAAACACCACCCCTCTCCCTACGCAAAAAAATTGATGCGCATATTTGAGTTGTTTCTCAATCTCACCGTCAGATTATATATATTTATGAAGTATTTGGATGAATTATCCTATATTTGAACAGCCATCATAACATCTGGAGGGATGCAAACGTCTCACAGAAAACGTACCATTATTATCACCCAGAATCAAAGGGATTAGATTTTTCAGGAATGATGGATGACATTAAGGTATATGAAGCTGGAACATCATTCTTACTTCACCAAAAGAATTGATACTTGTTGCTAAATGCTAAGACTCCTTCACTATAACTCTGAATTTTCAGAATGCTCCAAAAGGATCTTTCTTCTTGCTTCATGCATGTGCTCACAATCCTACTGGGGTTGATCCTACAGAGGAAGAGTGGAAAGAGATTTCGCAACTGATTAAGGCAAGAAATTTACTGACCTCTTTCTTTATATATTTTTTTTACATAATGACTCCCTTTTCCTATTGCATCATCCTAAATCTTGTGGACTATTTCCAGGATAAGGGGCATTTTCCCTTCTTTGACATGGCCTATCAGGGGTTTGCTAGTGGTGACCCAGAAAAAGATGCAAAGGCCATTAGGATTTTTCTACAAGATGGTCATTTACTTGGAATTTCTCAATCCTTCGCAAAAAATATGGGTCTTTATGGTCAGAGAGTAGGCTGTCTTAGGTGATTGTTTACATACTCTGATCAATTTCTCTGCTAGTTATGCTTTTCTATGTTGTGCTTTATGATTCTGTGCTTATTAGTCATTTATAGTAATAGCATTGATATGTTAACATAAAAATGAGTGAATCAATACGACCCTTGTCCATATGGCTTATGGTTCTTTTCTCGATGAGAAATTTGCTTTGGCAATTTTATTCTCTAAACAATCTCTTAGTAGACCGGAAGTTTTGATATTCAAGTGACACCTTAGTCATTTGGAATATTAACAATGCCCAGGACTCTCTACACTACTTAATATCTTCATTGAATTGACTGTTTTACCCTTCTGAATCACCCAATTTTTATTCTTCCCCTTTTTCACTCCCAGTCTTTTGCAAAAGCATCACTTGGTAGGACAACTATTATTGAATCAAAGGGCTAAAATAAGCTTGCTCTCCTCTCATCCCTGCTATAAACATAGATAACATCAAATCTTTGCTTTATCTTACCCCAACAATTAAAGTTGGGAGAGGCCAACAACCATGCTTTTTTAAGTTTCTTTGTGATTGATTATAGTAAATTCCTGGACGATTTCATACAAATTTTTACTTATATTTGGATTTGATTTATTTTGGGAACTGTGATGGGATAAGGAGAAAGCATTAGAGAGGATGGAATGATTTTGATTTTGATCAAGACGCTACTTCTCAAGGCAGATGTTCAAGCAATTCTTTTAAATGATGGCTGGATAGTGAACATGGCTATGGCTTACAAAGGAAAGAGAAGGTGAAATGGTTCAGATGATTCTAGCCAATGGTGGCAAAATAGTCTTTGAAGTTAGATACTAAAGTTCAAGGATATAGTAGAAAAGGATTTGTAGGTTAGTCATTTAATTTTTTAAGGCCGGAGGAAGACAATATTAATGGAATTTTGGGAAGACGGAAAAAAAGAAGATAAGGTGGATTCACAAGTGAATGAGTGCTAACCTTTTCTTTTAATATTGTCCTCTGCCAAAATTAAGGAAAAAATGTTAGAGAAGACTAAACACTGAGGAATACGGGTTATGGGGATATTAACAAATCAATCAATCAAAACCTTTATCCCATAAGTGGGGTCGGCTACATGAACCAAAAGTGATTATTCTGTATAGTCATCAACAAAAATCGTTCTCCTTCATGCCTTACGATCAAATACCTCATTCGTACTTAAATCCATATGCTTCATATTGCAACGGACAACGATCTACAAGACTAAAGATAATAAAAGCACACAAGAAAATGGAAGGGGATTGTTGTTGTTGATTGATTGATGATAACCAAAAGGTTACAAGATAGGTTAATGACTTGAGGCCATCACTCTGCAAGGTTTCCAATACAACTTTCTGAATATCTTTTCCCTCTAAAGCTACTGCTATTTATACTACTCTTCCTCACACACATGACATGGCAAGTGCCTTAATTACAACATAACTACTTCTTGTCCTCTTCCTAAAAGCAACTAAAGCAATAACAAAAGTAAGCTAATAAGCCAAAACGGCAGACTGTAGCTCAAGTTGTTGCTTGTGAGTGTTGTGAATTGGTGGTGTCCCCTTGCTCTTACTGATTCTGACCATGTCCTCTCTGCCTCCTGCCATACGTATAGCGTATGGGTGGTGGAGGAGCGTTCATTGCAATACCGTCCCCCAAAAGACCCACCTTGTCCTCAAGGTGGAAGTCCGGAAAACGCGCATCGACCCCATCAAACTCTTCCCAGGTGGCTTCAAATTCAGGCATGCCCTTCCACTTCACTAGCACCTCACGTGCTCTACCTTGTTGCGCACTAGACCTTGCAGCCCCTTCGGGTTCCACCTCTAATTCCAATTCGGATGTGATTTGGGTTGGAATGGACGGACCGTTGCTTATATCTCCTATTGCCCGCCTTAATTGTGAGATGTGGAATTCTGAGTGCACTCGACAGTCATCGGGAAGCTGTAACATATACGCAACCTTGCCCACTCGTTGTATCACTTCAAACGGACCATAAAACCTTGCTGCCAACTTCTCAAATGGCCTTTTGGCTAAGGATTTATGCCGATATGGCTGCAACTTGGGGAACACAAAATCCCCAACTTGAAATTCATCATCTCTTCTTTTGCAGTCTGCGTTGGCCTTCATAATTTGCTGGGCCCTTAGCAAATTAAGCTTAAGTTCTTCAAGCACAAAGTCTCGTTCCTGTAATTTTTCCTCCAAACTACCCACCGCAATTGTCATCAAACCCATTCGCAGTCTTGGGGGGTCCCTCCCATACACTACCTTGAATGGAGACATTCCGGTTGATGAGTGGATAGCAGTGTTATAAGAGTACTCGGCCAAGCTAGCCAAGTAGCCCAATTCTTTGGCTGCCCCCTTGCGAAGCAACGGAGGTAGGTCTTTTGTTCACCACCTCGGTTTGGTCGTGGATGGTATGATTTGCTGCGCCGGAGATCGGTCCCGTGAAGCCAGAATAATCCACGCCACAAAATGCTCAAGAACACCTGTTAGGCTCCGGAAATCCGTGAAGTCGCACCACCTCCCGGAGAAACACCTCTGCTATCGTGAGGGCCGTAAACGGATGTTTCAACCCGATAAAATAGGCATATTTCGACAGCCGGTCCACCACTACAAAAATGACATCCACCCCCTTCTATTTAGGCAGCCCCTCGATGAAGTCCAAGGTGATGTCCTCCCATACCTGCGCCGGCGGCGGTAGTGGTTGCAACAACCCAGCTGGTTGTGATAATTTGTTCCGTTGACATGTGATACAACCTTGAACATACTCCGATACTTCTTTCCTCATACCCTGCCACATCTATTCGCCGACTAACCTCAAGTAAGTCTTCGTTTCCCCGGCATGCCCACCCTCCGGCGAGTCGTGATACGCCTTTAGAAGGGTTCCCTTGTGGTCGGAGTTTTTCGGTATCACCACTCTCCTTTTGTGTAGCAATCAGTTCTGTTCCACGGTATAGCCCGCGATGCTTTCTCCCCCAAGAATACTCTATTTAAGCTTGTTTAACAATGGATCTTGTTCAATTTCTCTATCCAAATCGGCCAAGTCCACCTGCGCTGTCACCAAAGCCCCCAACTCCGGTTCTTCCCTCTCCTTCCTTGATAATGCATCGACAGCCTTGTTCGAGGCTCGGGCTTGTATTGAATCTCAAATTCGAAACCAATCAACTTTCGAATCCACCTTTGATACTCCATTCCGACCTCTCTTTGTTAGGTGATGAATCGGAGACTTTGTAAGTCACTCTGAACCACAAATTTCCGGCCAAGGAGATAATGCTTCCACTTCTGAATCGATAAGCAAACGGCCATCAATTCTTTCTCGTATATGGACTTCCCTCGCCCTACCGAACCCAATACCTTACTGAAAAAGGCGATTGGCCTTCCCTCTTGCATAAGTACTGCCCCCAAGAATCCCGAGGCGTCGGCCTCAACAATGAACAACTTATGGAAGTCCGCGAGAACCGGTGCGGTGGTCATGGCTCTCTTCGGATTTTCAAATGCTACAGTGAGCTATGTAGGCATACCTTGCAATAAACTTACGGTAATAGCCCGTTAGCCCAAGAAAGCCCCTTAAGTCCCTTAATGTTTTGGGCATGGGCCAAGTCAGCATGGCTGTCACCTTTTCTTGATCCATCGCCACCCCCTTGCTTGATATTATGTGGCCCAAATAAGCCACCTCTTCCTTGCCCATCTCACACTTCTTTCGATTAGCAAATAATCTTTGGTCTCGGAGGATTGTTAACACAAGTTTCAAAAGCTCAACATGCTCATCTGTATTAGCACTATACACAAGAATATCATTGAAAAATACGAGAACAAATTTGCGTAAGTAAGGGCGGAATACCTCATTCATAAGGGATTAAAATGTGGCCGGGGCATTAAAGAGCCCAAAGGGCATCACAAGGAACTCGTAGTGGCCTTCATGAGTTCAGAAGGCCGTCTTGTGCACATCTTCGGCCTTCAGTAAGATTTGGTGGTATCCGGCCTTAAGGTTGAGCTTGGAGAAAATTCTTGCACCTCCCTGACTCATCCAACAACTCATCAATGACGGGAATGGGGTACTTATCGGGAACGGTCTCCTTGTTTAAAGCCCGATAGTTAACACAAAAGCGCCAAGAACCGTCTTTTTTTTTTAACAAGGAGAACCGGACTAGAGAAAGGGCTAGTGGATGGCCGGATTATACTCGCCTCAAGCATCTCTCGGATTAGTTTCTCAATCTCGTCTTTTTGGAATTGGGGATATCTATAGGGCCGGACACTAACCGGGTCACTCCCCTCCTTGAGTACGATAGCATGTTCATGTCCCCGAGATGGAGGCAGCCTGACCGGAGCTTCAAAAACAGTGGGAAACTCGCCTAGTACTGGCTGCAGGAAAGGTGGGGTATTTTCCTCACCACTCACGGCTCCTTCCAAACCTCCAAACTCCACCAAGATTCCCCCTTTTTCCTTAATCAAGATCCTAATCATGGCCTTAAGAGTGACACCAGCTTTTGCTAGTGAGGGGTCTCCACGAACGGTCATCGCTCTTCCCCCAATTGTAAAGCTCATGGTTTGGAGCTTCCAATTGGTGAGTATTGAGCCTAACTTTTCCAGCCATTGGATGCCCAATATGACATCCGAATTTCCTAGTTGGAGGGGTAAGAAGTCCTCCACTAGCTCCACCTCCGCGTTCAGAGCTTCACATTCTTACATTGTCCACGCCCTCTCACCGACTCGCCATTACCCAACGACACCCCAAAAGTGCCATCCCCTTCTATGGGAATGCCCAATTTAGCCACCGTTTCCAAGGATATGAAATTATGAGTTGCACCGGGATCCACCATTACCACCAGCGCTTCTTCGCCTATTTTTCCGACCAATTTCATGGTTTTAGGATTGGTAAGGCCCACTATCAAATTAATCGATATAGGAGCCGACATCTCTTCTTTGGTTGATGTTTCTATGGCTTGAAACTCACCCTCCGTATCTTCCTCGTAGTCTTCTACTAGCAGAACACTCAACACTTTCGCTGGACAAATATGCCCAATTCCCCACTTTCCGTCACACCAGAAACATAGTCCCTTAAGCTTCTTTTCCTCAAGTTCCTTCTCTGTTAATCTCTTGGGTTAGTTAGAAAAACGGGAATAAGATGAAAGGTTAGATAGGGCTGTTGTGGCCGAAGAGCTAACCTGGTGGGTTGAACCAACCGAGCTATTGTTGTAAGGCTTAAAATTGGGTGGGTAGTTTGGTGGGTTGTGTGTTTGGGCCGGCCCAGTTCCTCCACCTAAGATGGTCGAAACTGGACTCTTGTTGAAGTAAGAGTATGGTCTAGGTTTGGTAAGGGTTAGGTTAGGCTTTCTTAACCGTTTACCCGGTTTTGCTCCTCCACCCGGGTTGCTAATCCATGGCCTGTTCCAGCGTGAACGAATTAAGCATACGGATCTCGGCCCAAATCTCCTCCTTCAATCCATTCACAAATTGCCCTTTCATTAAGCTTTCTGGTATGTCTTCCAATGGAGATGCCTTCTCGATGAAAGCTCGCTGGTACTCCGCCATCGTGGTGGTGTGGGTAACCGCAAGCCATTGCTCGTGTAGGGTGCCTGCATTCACCGGCTGAAATTGCACCAAGATTCTCTCCTTCATCTCGTTCCACCCTCCCACCGGATGCCGGCGGTTCTCCCATTGGAACAACCGCAACGCATCATTCTCCAAGGACACCATGGCTGCTTGCAATTTCTCATGCTCCGCCAACTGGTAGAAGTGAAAGTATTGTTCACTTCTCAAGATCCAGCCGTCGGGGTCGGAACCGTCGATCAAAGGCATGTCCAACTTCTGGTACTTCCAATTCCCACGGCCACCGTGACCTCCGCCACTTTCCAAGCCCCTTATCGGCTCGCGAGGTGGTCCTCTCTCCCAGTCTAAGCCTAAGCCAAAATTTCTTCCCGGTTCCCCGCCACCGCCGCCACCACCTACGCCGGACTGCTCCGCCTCATCTTCCACCACCACGAGGGGTTGCTTCTGCTTATCTTTCAAGGACGTCGTAATCCCTCGAATCTCGTCGAAGAATTGTCTTGGTTGCTTTTCAACAAGGCGGCTTGTTGGTTGTGGTCATCCTGAAATCGGTTGAGCCTTCCCTCCAACCGCTGGCCCTCGACCTCTTGTTGCTTGGTGAACTGCTCCGACAAAGACTTTTGGAGAGCCTTAATGCTCTCCGCCACTGTCTTGGTGTGTTGGATGGAGTTCTCTCCTACGTCCACCTTTGACACAACCTTGATGAAATGTCCTTCTAAAGCTTCGATGCGCTGCGTGTTTGTACCGGACGCTAGAGCCATGGCTGCTCTGATACCAACTGCAACGGACAGTGATCTACGAGACTAAAGATAATAAAAGCACACAAGAAAATGGAAGGGGATTGTTGTTGTTGATTGATAGATGATAACCAAAAGGTTACAAGATAGGTTAATGACTTGAGGCCATCACTCTCCAAGGTTTCCAATACAAATTTCTGAATACCTTTGCCTTCTAAAGCTACTGCTATTTATACTACTCTTCCTCACGCACATGACATGGCAAGTGCCTTAATTACAACATAAGTACTTCTTGTCCTCTTCCTAAAAGCAACTATAGCAATAACAAAAGTAAGCTAATAAGCCAAAACGGCAGACTGCAGCTCAAGTTGTTGCTTGTGAGTGTTGCGGGTTGGTGGTGTCCCCTGTACGTATAACGTATGGGTGGTGGAGGAGGGATCATTGCACATATCCTTTCTAACCCCTTCCAACCAAGTCATTTTAAAAGCAACTGAAAATTTGTCTAAAAATTGATAATATCATAGGTTTACCAATCATATGTATGGGACTCCATTTTCTATCTCCCAGATATCATGTTAAAAACTCCAACTGCAAGACATGAGATAAAAAATCAGACTGCTAGGCAATGCATGTATATATTGAAACAAAATGTTGAAACAGGGAAAAACACCTAGCTTGATCTCCTTAGTGAGTTGCTCATCATATCTGATTTGTGATGTACCATGTGAACTGCATGTAGACTTATTATTTTCCTCTGACTTCTTTTCTGATCCCAATTCTGCAGTGTGCTTTGTGAAGACGATAAACAAGCTGTGGCAGTAAAAACTCGATTGCAACAAATCGCAAGACCTATGTACAGCAATCCCCCTGTTCACGGTGCCCTTCTTGTTTCAATTATCCTTAGTGATCCAGATCTAAAAAATATGTGGCTCAAGGAAGTTAAGGTAAGGAATGCCTAGGCTTCTTGTTTGGTTCTTTTGTTCACAAATTTTGCAATATATATTTACTGGTTACTTGAACGTCAATGCATGTAAGTCACATAGTATTTTTAATACTTGGGCTGAATGGCACTTATGGCAGTATCAGTTTAAAGAGATGAGAGACCATGCACTTGGAAAATAAGAATAACATTGAGGGGATGAAATTTAATTTACCTGTTAGAGCATTAGGGCCCTGTCGTGTTAAACTTATTTTGACTTATTTCAGACAAAAGTTGCAGATTGGTTAAGAGAAAAAATCATCTCGGACTATTGCATACAACACTAAGTGTATTTTAACCAAGATTCGTTTATTTGCTTGACAATGAGTTCTGGTAAAATAAGCTGAGACAAAATAATTTGAATACATTAGAATTTAGGATCTTCCGGTCTTCCCATCTTGGTTAGGGCAGTTGCACCTTGCTGTAAACCCGTTAGCAGGGGATGGAATGGAAAGGGAAACAGGATTTTAAACCAACATTAAAGAAAGTTTGTGTTGAGGAATTAGGTGATGTCTAGTTGATACAAATTTAAACAAATTGAAAGTGGGCATCAAAGCTAGTATTTTAGCTGTGTATGGCCTTTACACCATGCTGTAAATCTGTTAGCTAGGGGATGGAATGGAATGGAAAATGGGATTTTAAACAAACATAAAAGAAAATTTGTATTGAGGAATTAGGTGATGCCTAAAGAAAATTTGCACATAATGAAATCGTGCATTAAATTAAAATCTTGTATTTTAGTTGCATGTGGGGCTTTTTTGCCCATACAAACTTGGGGAGAGGGGAGTGGGGAGGGGCGACTAAACACTTGAGTTAGATCAACGAAGCTGGCTCATTTCTAAGCTGCTGCTTGCATGCATGAAATGTTACATTTCTTATGTCTTGTTCAAATTATGCTTCTCTCTCTACTCACCCACTCACACACATCTTGGTAAGAGAGGATGGATTGATTATATATGCATATGCTGTTAGTACAGGTATTACAAAAGGAGAATTCCAACATGGGATATCTTGTACCATATACCACATGTTTCTTTTCATGCTATCATCATGAAGAATTTCATTCTGCGACTTTAATTGCAATCAAGTCATTTAAATAAAATGAATTTCAGGTCATGGCAGATCGTATAATTGGAATGAGAACAGCTTTACGCGAAAATATTGAAAAGTTGGGGTCACCATTATCGTGGGAACACATCACTAAACAGGTAGAAAAAGTTGTGAACTTGAAATCAGCAAAAATGATGCATTTAATTATGTAATTAAACATGCCTCGTCAGTCAGAATATTTCATAAACCTATTATTTGGATGAACAGATTGGTATGTTCTGCTATAGTGGGTTGGCACCTGAGCAGGTTGATCGATTGACCAGTCAATTCCATATATACTTGACCCGGAATGGCCGTATCAGGTAATACTGTTTTACAATCAGTTTTTTCCAGCTACCTTGCTAGTTGTTTGTGGCTACTGTTAGCTCTATCTTATGCCTTTATCTGACGGTGCAGTATGGCTGGTGTTACAACAAAGAATGTCGAATATTTGGCAAATGCTATTCATGAGGTCTCAAAATCTTAAGGGAGTGTATTGGCAATCCAAGCGGCAGAGTTCCATGTATAACGTAGAGAATATTGTTGTATTCTTATATGCCAATAAGATAGATGTTTAAGCATCTTATTTGAAATTTTTGTTACCCTGAAAAGAGATCAGGATAGGGGACCTTTAATGTTGTAGTGAATCGTGGGGGTTAACTGAAGATTCAACTTCAGCTGTTCTGATGCTAGAAGAGATGCATACTAGATTTGTCTTTGTTTTTTCCCTGCAATTATGGGGAAAATGCCAAAATATTGTTATGTGTTGAGAAGCTGTTATTCTTGCAGAACTTATTTCAATAAGCAGAAGCTGAACTTTTCAATCCTTTTATCCCTTCGGTGTTATTTTTCCACAAAATTTATTTATCAACACCTTTGAGGAGAAAATTTTCAGAAGATGTAACACGGAGGACCTTAGGGAATTGGGATACTTGACTTTTCATATCTATTCTCTTTTAGCGCGGGTTTTGTGTGTGGCTGGCCACATCATGTGCAATTCATGAATCTTATACTGATTGTAGCTAGCAAGGTACAACATGTTTTAAATTTTGCTCATTTGACTTAAATGAGCAATGAGCAAAGTTCATACTAAGATCAGTGATATAAAAAATATAAGCTTAGCTCATTTCTATTTAAATAAAAATAACTATTCTTTGTAAAGAGAAAACTTTATTTGGGTTGATGTTTAGAAATTATTATTGTTGTTGGAATGACAAAAGCTTAATTTTGTCCATTTATGGTCCATAAGTTGGAATAGAGAAGAACAAAAAGAAAAGTTTGGACAAAAAATTTGCTCATTATGGGCAAATGAGCAAAACAATGTGCTCATCATCATCAATTAGCAAAATATAATGCCTCTATAAATTAAGCATAATGAACGATAAAAGAAGAGAATAAAATAATTGTATCTCACAATATTAACAAGAAAAAAATTTGAAGAGAAGGAAGTACATAAAAATAAATCAAAGTTTAAATCTAAAAATGAATTTTTCTCCTTATATATACAAAATAAAGTGAATGAAATTAAAAAGTGGAGAGATAGAGAGAAAATGAATTTAGAGAAAGAATATGAATCTTACGAACTAGAGAAAGATATAATAAGTATTATTTGTATAACAATATCATATAACTAATATATAAAGCTAAATTTTTAGTCAGACCATGAGACAGCGACACTTGACGTTTTAACTTTTGCCAAGTGTCGCGCTACGTAGGCGATAATTAATAATTAATATGACATGCATGATTTATTTAAGGATAAATATTTTTTTTTTGTAGAATAGGATAGAAAAGTAACATAGATTCAGTAGGATAAAAAAGCTAAATTAGAGTTTTATTTTCAATAAAATTTGGATAGATTTAGTAGGATAAAAAAATTATTTTAGAGTTTTGTTTGCAATAAAACTTTTGGTTTAGAATTTTATTTTCAATAAAAATACCAATATTTCTATACAAATGACGGGATCCAGAGAGGTACAAAAGGAAAAAATAAATAATCGACCTGTTATTATATATAATAGCTCTCTTAAGTCTTAACATGCAACCAGCCTTTACCTAGATGTTCAGAGAAAATGAAAAGAGATCACAGCTTTAGACAACTGTTCTTTTTGGCTATACATTATTACTTCTAATTTTTTTAGATTGTCAAGTGATTATTAATGCATAAAATACCCATAAACGGACAAGTATGATTGTCAAGTGATTATTAATCCATGAGCAAAAAATTCAAATAACATATATATTTTAGATAAAAAGTTTTATTTTAAATTTAATAAACAACCCGCGCATCGCACTGGCACAAAACCCCATCGTCGTCTCCCCGACCTGAATCCATCACCGAACCACCCAAACCCCAACCCTAAGCAGTTCAACCATCGCCGAACTTCTCTACCTTACCCAAAGTCGTCGCTGAAACCCCGACTCACACCGGCACACCCATACCCAAACCCACAAACCGCCCTACTCCTCTCACCCTCACCTGAAATTAAATCGGGGCTGGTTACTTCGTGGGTACGGTTGGGCTGATTTCGACGGTCGAGGGTGGTTGGCTGGCTGGTTTTGTGGGTCGAGGGTGCTCGGTTGGGATTGGGTGACGGCGGTGGGGGATGGGTTGGAGAACGGCGGTAGGAACCGGCGGCGCCGATGGTGGCGGGGTAATTTTAAGGTTTTCCTTTTTTTTTTTTTAAATTTTTTATTTTTTATTTTTTTTTTAATCCAATACGTAATTGACACGTGTACAATGTAGCCCACTAACGGTTTTTTGGATGGAAAAGTTAAGTGGTGGTGAAACCAATTTTTGGTTTTTTTTGTGGTGTTATAATATTTTTTTTTTTGGTGTTATAATCAAAACCGTGACAATTTTGGGGTGTTATTTTCTAATTTTCCCAAAAATTACTTATTTCATAAAAATGAGCTGAATGTATTTGCTCATCTCGACTTTTTTTTTTGGCTCATTTTCTCCAAATGAGCAAAAATTGGTGCAAAAGAGCATAAAATGGTGCAAATGAGCAAATATGATTATACAAAATCTGGTTATACAGTGCAACCGGTTTCATGATAATAATTGTTCACCATGTGGCTGTTTGTAAAAGAACAAAGTAACCCTTATAACATTAATTTAGTAACTATGTAATATTGAGTTACTGACCAAGTAACCCCTATAATACAGATTGTGTAACCTCTATTCTACTGACAAAGTAACCCTTGTAATACTGACCGAGTAACCTTTATAACACTAAAGAAGTAACCCCCGTGTAGGGTTGATATTATCAAATGGATATCCGCTAACCCGCTCCACCCGCTTTAAATTAATGGATGAAAACCCGAATTAAATGGATGTGAAGCTGGTGATGGATCAGATCAGATGTGGATGATATTCTTCTTCACCCGCTAACCGCCCACCCACCTGTTTAACATATATTAATTTTTTTTAAGAACTTAAATAATAAAATATGAAATGTGAAAGTTTTTTTTTTTTTTTTTTTTTTTTTTTTTTTTGTTGCAAATTAATTTTTTCAAACAATATGTTGTTACTGTTTTTATTTTATTTTATTTTATTATTAATAATATAAAAAAAATTGTATAAATAATCGAAAATTAGAGTTTATGTGGATTTTTTTTCTCACTTTAAATACTCATTCATTAGTAATCTGCTCCACCTGTTTCATCCGCGGATGATGGACGGACGGATATGGATGATGGTTGAAGCGAGTGACGAATGTATGTGGATGGAGCGATTGGGATAATGGATGGATGCGGGTGAAGCTCCACCCGATCCGAATCCGATCTATTGCCATCTCTACCCCTGTGTGATTAGCCACATATAAGAATTGTGTAATTTGTTGGGTTGAAACTTTTAGTAATATACTTCGCATTCTTACAATGTCTATTACTTGTATGAAATTTGTTTGGTTTAGGAAATTTTGTAAAAAACTATCCCAAAGTTAGGCTGTTTTGTGAACAACTACCCCTAAGATAACAAATGTTTGTCTAGCACTACCCATTAACAAATTACGTCCAATTGAGCCGTTTGTGGGGCCCTCTCCTACAGTTTCTCACCCAATTAGCTCCCTCCCCAACTACCTCTCTCCTCTTATAGTTGTTCTTTCCCCCAAAGTCATCCTAAAAACCAAATAAAGAAAAATAAAATTCGAGCAATTAAACACAGTTTCTCACTAAATCAGGTCATGTTCAAGTTATTGTTTTAATTCTTGGTCTATTTAATTGGTTTAGGGATTTTAATTTACTTCAATTAACATAATTAGATGTTCAATTTAGGGTTTAGGGCATTAATTCAATTTAGGGATCTTAATTTCTAGGATTTAGGGTTAGAATTGAATTAGGGGTTTTGCTTACTTAGGGTTAGAGTTTGAATTCAATTGCATTTTAATTAATAAATAGATACTTTTGTTTCATATTTATTGGTAGGATGTCTTATTCTTCATATCACTCTGCTTTACAATATCCAAGCAAACGTAACTATGGAATTCCACCAAAAATGGAGACAACGTGGACTACAACAAACTCTGACAGAAAATTCTATGGCTAGAAGATCAGTAAGAAAGAGATAGACAACTGTGAGAGGAAAGAAAAGGGGTGTTAAGCCCTACCAATTTACTAAAAAGGGGATGAATTTGGAGCACAAAGATTCTCTTAGGTCAAATTATGAGGGTGAAAGGTAGTTGGGGAGTTACTTGGGTGGGAAACCGTAGAAGTGGGCCCCACAAACGACACACACGTAAAAAAAAAATCTAAAAAAGAAACCTACACTACTAGAAAACAGGCGAATTCCGATGGAATAATTTCATGGTCAAATTTGACCTTAAAAAATCCTTAATTTGTTTAACACCATCCCTAAAGCCAAACCGACCACCAACTGAAATTTCCGGCGACTATTTCGCATCAACACCACCCCACAAACCGCCGAGAAAGAGAAGAGAATAGAAGAGAAGAGGAAAGAGGGGAAAGAAGAGGAGAGAAGGAAGAGGAAAGAAGAAAGAGGCGAGAAAGAGAAGTGAGAAAGAGAAGAAGAAGAGGAAAGAGAAAAGGAGAGATAAGGAGAAGGAGAAAGCGTAAAATCAGAGAGAAAGGGAAAGATGAGAGAGAAGGAGAAGGGGAAAGAAGATGAGAGAGAAGGAGAAGGGAGGCGGATAAGAGAAGGGAATTTAGGGTTTCGAATTTTTTTTAATTATTATACTCTGACGGAAATTCCGTCGAAAATTTCCGATGGAATAAACATCCTTCGGAAAAGGTAATTTACGACGGAAAAATCCGTTAGAAAGTACATATTTTCCGACGGATTTATATTCCGTCGAAATATTCCAACGAAATTATTGAATTCGTCGGAAATATCCGACGGAATTTAAATCCGTCGAACATTTTGATTTTTTCGACGGAATTACGTGTCCGTCGAAACCAGTCTGTCGGAAATGGGTTGTTTTCTTGAGTGCTATCACGCCCCCTCACATGAGAGTCCATTACCAAGCGCTAATTATTCCACTTGAAAGGAAAGGAAGGGTGGATGAAAGTTAAACTCATGACCTTTGTGTAACGCTGGCTCTTGATAATAATATGTTAAAATAACAAAGTCAAGCTGATGGTCAAAGTTCAAGGTCGGTTTATATATTCTACCAGTATCTATCTGACTTAAGTGTGAGCTATGGATTTTATGTATACTTCCTCCGTTCTTTTTTACTTGACCTGCTTAAACTTTTACACTATTCACCACCCCTCTCTTGACCGTCTTTTGTGAATAATATGTAAGGAAAAATATATTCATGTGGGATAAATTTGAATTCGTCTCATCAATAAGTACTATCATAATATATAACT